GAGGGATGGTCACGCCGCAATCCCTTCTCCTCCATTCTCCTCTTGGGATCTTGGGCATGCACGCACACGCGCCCGGTGTGAGTTTTAAGCCACCGCGTTCGGGACACGAACCGCGGTCGACTACGTGGGAGTCCAGCGACATAGCCATTACGCTAACTGCTGGTTCCCCATTTTCTTAGTTTTTGAACTCTTATTTCTGTGTGTCTGCATTTGACTCTCCTGGTAAAGCACTCCCTTGAGAACTTCTTGTTGGTAAATTCTTTCAGGTTTTGTTTATCTGAGAATGTTCTTGTCTTTTCTTGCCATATGAAGGATAATCTTGCCAGGTACAGTATTCTTGGTTGCAATTGCTTTTCCCTTAATACTTTGAATATATTTTGCCATTCTTTTCTCGTTCGCATTGTTTCCAATGAGAGGTCCACTGTTGGCCTGATGGGATATCCTTTGTAGGTAACTTGCCGTTTCTCTCTTGCCAATCTTAGTATCTTGTCTTTGTAGTTTTGGTCAAGCTGGCAAAAATTTGTCTTGGAAAAGATCTTCTTGGGTTGATTCTATTTGGGGTCCTGGATCTTTGAATGTCTCTCTAGGTTTAGAAAGTTCTCTTCCATAATTTCATGGACTAAATTATCAATGCCCTTATGAGTCTCTTGGCCTTCTGGAATACCAATTATCTGGATGCTTCGACGTTTGATGGCATCTAGTATTTCTCGTATATTATTCTCATTTTGGGGGGCAATTTTCTCAGTCTTTGTGGTGGATTTTTCTAGGCCAGCAATTCTATCTTCTACATCTGAAATTTGATTTTCTGTATGATCTGGTCTGCTTTTAATACTTTCAAGGGAGGTTTTTGACTTCCTGTATTATAGCCTTCATCTCTAACAGGTCAATTTGATTCTTTTTTATAGTGTGTACTTCCTCTTTTAGATCTTGCAAGAATTTCTTCACCTCCTGGAACTCATCAGTTCCTTTCTCCTGCAGTTCATTGTCTCTCTTCTCTTCCATCTCTGTTAGCTTTGTCACTACAAATATTCTAAATTCTTTTTTTTTTTTTGGAGAGGTTTTCGCTATAGGGCATGTGCGCTCACCAAAAAGATAGAGAGACAGAGAGATAGAAAGCGAGAAATCACACCCCAGGGGTGATGACCACGCCGCAATCCCTTCTCCTCCTCCTCCTCTCGGGATCTTGGGCACGCACGCACACTTGCCCCGCGTGAGTTTAAGCCACGGGGTCCAGGACTCGAACCACGGTCGACTACATGAAGTCCAGCGACATAGCCATTATGCTAACTGCTGGTCCTGAATATTCTAAATTCTTTATCTAACATTTCCATGAGTTTCATTGTACTGTCAAAGGATAAAGAGGAGTTATTCTTTTCCCTTGGAGGAGAGGTATTTTCTTGTTTTCCCATATTTCTTGTGACCCTGCAATGATTTCTAGTCATCTGATGGATGGTGCATTTCGTCCTAATTCTTGAATTTCAACCTTAGTGATCAGAGGTGTGCAGAAGGAGGTGATCTGAAACCTCTCTTCCATTCCATTTTTACTCTTTGTGAATCAGATGTAGTGGGAATAGAGGAATATTCTGACCCTAATTGTATTCAGATATGATCCTTTTCACTTTGACCTGTCTATAGACACTTAGTGAGTAGAGGCTCATCCCGCTTCCTGAACAGAAGTTTGGTAATCTTTGTGGTCTAAATGAATTAATTTCAATAATAATAAAGACTTTGAGGGCCAGCAGGTGGTGTGGTGGTAAAGGGTGCTGGACTCCCACATGGCTGGCCAAGGTTTAAATCCCAGACCAGGGAGCTTTGCTTTCTCATTTTCCCTCTTTCTCTCACACTCTGTCCCTCTCTGGTCAAATTAAAATAAATAAAGTTCAAAAAAATAATTCTTAAATAAACACTTTGATCATAATCAAAATCACAATTAATAAACTGTTACTATGACATTATATCACATGCACTAGAAAACAAGAGTAAATTTAGTCTCTTCTGAAAAACCTTGAATACAATCCTCAGAGTTGAATATTTCTGTTTTCCATCTACCCAAAAATGATCATCAAAATATAAAGTTTATACAAAACAATTATATCTGTTTCTATAATGAAATTCTAAAACAATTATTGCTATGCAACCAATAATCCTTTTGAGATATTAAAATTTAATGCACTGAATTATGAAGCATTTTGCATTAAAAAAAAAACACACAGAAAAATACATTGTGATTTTCCTAATGACCAAATAGAATTAAGTGGAGCTAAAGTTATGATGTTAGAATCTTTTTACCATAGAAATTATTTTAATATGGCTGTTTTTTAATAAAGAATTTTACCCGTATTTTGAAAGTTCTCATGAGATACATTCTATGGATATAGAAGTAACATTAAAATTTAAAATTATGTAGTTAATATTCTTTGGAAAAAGCTATAATCTGCTGATCTTTCCCACTTAATAATAATAAGCATACCAATATACTAAGACCCTTTTGAAAAAAAAAAAAAAAACTCATTTGACACCCATATCCTGAATGTCTATCCAAAATAATATGTTCAATAATTCTGCACAGAATTCTACTATAAGAATAAAGAATATCCAAAAATATGAAAAAACAGCAGAAAATATTCTCTCTCCCCAAAGGAACACAATAACTATAACAATAATAGGCAAAACACAAGAAATTACAGACATATCAGAAAAATAATTCAGGATATTTTCATAACTAAACCCTATGAGATACAAGAGAAAACAGATAACCAATCTCAGTAAATGAGAAAGTCACTACATGACTTAAAGAAGGAACTCCAAAAAGAGATAGACATCCTGAAAAATAATAAAAAGGAACTTCTAGGGTTAAAGATACAATACAGGAAATCAAAATCACCCTTGAAAGTATTAACCACAGATTAGACCATGCAGAAGAGAGAATCTCTGACCATGAAGACAAAGTTTCCAACTTAGTCCAAGTAAACTAGAAGAATGGGAAAATAAATACTGAAAATGAGGACAACATACAGAAAATCCT